TGCGATCCGTTGCCGGACACGGAAAAAGACAAAAAAAGACAAAAAAAAAAAAAAAAAAATTACAAGTAGTTTTCATATTTATCCCATGCTATATTTAGTGCTCATATCTTATATGGACAGTCCTAGTTCATGGTAGAGTTCTTTTCTTTTTTATTGAAACATAATTGACTGTACATATCTGTGAGTTACAGTGTTGCATGGTAGAGTTCTGTATAGCATAAATTTACTCCCCAAATGCAAAACAGTAACTCTTAGCCAGCCAGAAGATGAAGATATACATGGGGTCCTCAGTGCCAGGCTCTTCCATCTTATGCTTCAACACCTTGCTGAGACCATTAATAGAAGCCTAAGCAGCCAGTGATGAGTTCTAGAGCCTTGACTCAAGTTGCTCCCAGTAATCCAACAGCATTCCTTTCTGGAAGATAGTGATCACACCTAAGTATTCAAAACCCAGTACACAGCACCCACAGTTTCCAGTCCTAGAATAAGTCATTAGAAATTTGTATACTATCCTGTAATTTTCCTTAAAATGTGTAATTTTAGGACACATTAAGTTCTAGGTTTACCATTGGGGAAAAGAAAGCACTGTACTGGTTACATTCTTGGTTTTTGTAACTAGTATAAGAAGCAGAGGAATAGAGTGGTTTTATTCTAGGATAGCATACTAACCCACCTTAGAAAACATTAAGTTACATATATGCCACATAGTATAAGTTAGCAACCAAAGTTATCTCAGACTCTGACAAACGACAAGGATGCTGGGCTATTAAGCTATGGAATTTTGGCTTAAACTAGAATACAATGATCTAGATCTGCAATATCAATTTTAAGATTACAGACCATTCTGTGCAGTAACAATGCGGTATTGAACATATTTATTGATTGAGCCTTGGTTTTACATGTCTGGTTCTCCTGACACTGAGACCACACTGACAGAGGTTATCAAGGTCAGTGGATAATCTGTGTTGGAGAGGGGATATGACCCCTGGTACTCCTAGGGGGAGTAAGTTGACAGCCAAATCTATTGATCGACGACTATTCACAGTGCACTGTGTTTCTTGGCTACTCACAAATCTTTTAGAAGACCTTGTAACAACCCTGTAAGGTAGATACTATTGTTATTCCAGTATTACAGATAAAGAAACTGAGGCACAGATCAATTAAAATTAAAGAGTTAATAAGTGATAAATCCAGGCAATCTAGCTCTAATTCAGAGCTTTTAACTACTTATTATGGGCTGAACTGTGTCCCTCTACAAATTTATATGCTGAAGCCCAACCCTCAGCAACTCAGAATGTGACTGTATTTGGAGATGGGGGCTATAAAGAGGTAATTAAGCTAAATGGGGTCGTTAGGGTGTATCCTAATCCTACATGACTGGTGTCCTTATAAGAAGAGGAGATTAAGACATAAACAAGAATGGAGGAAAGACTATATGAAGACAAAGGGAGAAGATAGCCATCTATAAGCCAAGGAGAGAGGCCTTAGAATGAAACTAACCCTGCCAAAACTCTGTTCTTGGACTTCTAGCTTCCAGAACTGTGAGGAAATAAATTTCTGTTGGTTAAGCCACCCCATCTGTGGTATTTGTTGTGGCAGCCCTAGCAAACTAACATACCACTACACCACCTTTCATGGTAGTGAGTGCCAATAGAGGCGGTGCCATTGGCAAGTGTCCAGTGACAATGACCTAAGTATATTATTCCAATGCCAGGATCTTCTAAAATTGTCATGTTATTTATTTTTAATGGTCATATATTCACATTCAAAATACTAAATGTATAAAAGACCGTTTTGTGAAAAATCTACCCGTATTGCCATGTTACAGTTCTCTTCTGGACACAACCAGTGTTACTTATTTTTTGTGTGCCCTTCTACAGATACTATACACATATAAAATCAAATATGTACAGTATATTCCCTCCAGTTGCTTACTACAGACATTATACTACCTCTTACATTTTTACATAGAGATATCTTGGGAATCGCCTTTATATGGAGAGATTTAATTAAAGACTATTTGGTCTGAATTGCAACTTGGGTTCCAGTTATAATACTTACATTTTACAAAAAGGAGAAAGTGGAAATGTCTGAAGTCCTGTACATAATGAATTCACTGAAGAATGTTGGCTTGTTAGGTGTAGATGAGTTAGTGGCATTTCTAACTGTCCTGGAATATATGAAAATTTAAAGATTACATAAAAATTTGATAAAATTAAGTATAACTTAGAACTGTGTGTAAACAATTATTATGTTGATTCTGTTGCAACAAAATATATCAATAAGAAATCTGAGTAAAAATTAGTCTTAAATTTCCATCTAAAATGTGATATATATATACCCAATGGAATACTGGTCAGCTATAAAAAAGAATGAAATTCTGCCGTTTGCAGCAACATGAATGAGCTTGGAGAAAATTCTGTTAAGTGAAATAAGTCAGGCACAGAAAGAAATAACATGTATCCTCACTCATAAGTGGCAGCTAACAAAGAAAAAAAGAAAGAGAAACAAACAAACAACAATCACAATAATACATTGAACTTTCAGAAGGAGAGAATAGAACTGTGGTTACTAGAGGTGGGAAAGAGGGAGGGGGAGGGGTTAGGGAGAAATTGGTTAATGGACACAAAGAATGATTATGCTTTGTAATGATGAATATGTTAATTATCCTGATTTGGTCATCATCACATATTGTATACAAGTATCAATAGTCAACTCTGTACCCCACAAATCTGTATTATCAACTATGTTTCAATAAAAAAGAAGAAAATTCCATCTATATGAGAAATTACATATATATTATATGTGCCTCAACTATGACAGTGGTGATTTTTACTAAATACATTGACAGATAAACTTTATTGAGTTTACCATATGTAAGATAAATTCTTTTTTTTTTTTTAGCAGCATGGGGCAATCTTTATTTATTTATTTATTTTATTATATGTTTATATATATATATTCTTTAATTTTACTTCTCGAGTAAGATAAATTCTAAAAGTTTCATGTGTAATAATGCTTTTAATTCTAACAGCTTATGTTGTCAGTACTCAGGAGATAGTACGATTTTTATCTCCATACTAAATATTGGTGATGTTAAGCAAATAGTATTACGGAGAGTAATTTTTCACCTTAATGAGTCTGAACTCTAGATGGCCTAGCACAGAGTTATATATTTACAGGGTGGGCTTGAAAAACTGATCCTCGTTATTAAAAAGACAGTGTGGTTTTATGATTTTCATAAATAAGGAAGTAAATTTCACAATAGATAATTAATGTGATTATAATTACAACTATAAGTGCAATTAAATAACAATATCATCAATATATTTAAGAAGAAACACAATTTGACATTACACTGGAAGAAAAGATGATTCTGAGATTCCAAATTTGGTGGGATAATAATACTAACAATAATGATGGAACAGAGAATAAGAGGACTGATTTGGGGATTAAAACGTTAAATTTTTAAACAGTGTAACATAAGGTCAGAAAGATTGCTAATACTGAGATAAAATACATAATTTTATGTACTAAGCTATAATATTTTAAGATTTCTATTTTTAATATCAATACTGTTTCCTCTATTCTTCTTCCCTAATCTTTGTAACTCTTCTCTCTATATATTACTCAGTTTTGATGCTGGTAGGATTCTGAGTTAATGATAGCAACAAATATAAAGGGGCAGATATGAGAAAAAAACAACTAGGATTATAATAATCAAACTTTAAACATAGAAATTGAGTCATAGTAGACTATATACATGAATGGATTGTATTTTCACATCAAATATAGGTATAATCTCAATGATTTATTCAAAATTTCTACCTGGTTCACTATACTCTGGTTCACCTTGGCTCTGAATATTCAAAATCTCTGTGGAGCTGCATTTCATATCTTCTGTCGCCCCCGCACCGGACCGGGACCGGCAACGGGACCACAACCCTCGGCGTTGCCCCCGCGCCTCGCTCAACCAGTGAGCGGGAACCGGTCTTCATGTGGGATCCGAACCCTCGGGCGGGAGCGCCGCCGCACTTCCCAAGCGGCGCACTATCCAGTGCGCCACCGGGCCGGCCCTTTCCCCCTTTTTTTAAAGGTACAACTCTTATAAAAAATATACATGGTAGTTCCTTGATTATAAGACATAGTTTTTCATATTTTGTTGTATGTAAAATTGCAATGCACCCTGCAATCAGTATGTACAATTAGAATGTTTCTTTTTTCCTTAAGCATTCTTAAGTCAAAATGTGTCTTGCAGTTAGTGGGATCTTAGAATCACAGAAATATGGTAATTATATTTGCTTTTTTATTTAATCTAAGAATCAATCTCTCTTTTTTTGTTTTTGTTTTTGTCCTTTTTGAGACCGGCCGTACCACGCTCAGCCAGTGAGCGCTGTGAGCGCACCGGTCATCCCTATATAGGATCCAAACCCGCGGGGAGTGCTGCTGCGCTCCCAGCGCCGCACTCTCCCAAGTGCGCCACCAGCTCGGCCCCAATCTCTCTTTTAATAGGGAAGTTTAATCCATTTACATTTATTCAGACAAAGTAGTATTTTTATAGTCTTATTATATGTTTCCAACTCCTTTTGGTTCCTTTGCTTACTTTTATTTTCCATAGAATTAATTCTATTCTGAGTTTTTTTCTTCCATTGGTTTGAAGATCATATTTTAAATTTATGCATTATCATTAATTTTAAAATATTTACATTTTAATCTTCATTTTTTCTATCAATTGAAAAAAAAGCAGCATCTCAATTCCCCTATAAAATGAGAAACTTAGCATATTTTTCCACCAAAATTTTCTCCCTTTCTCCAAGACCTAGTTTTTATTAGATTATTCTATGTTTCAAGTAATATGGTTATAATTAATTTCTTTCAAAATTATATTTCTGGCTTCTGGTTCAATACAGCAGAAAACACACATATTAGCTATCCTTTCCAAATCCTATGAGAATGACAGTAAACATATATAAAAGTGGAGTGAACAGAGAGGGAGGAAAAATTCTTCTGTGGACCAGAGTTATTAGTAAAATTCCAGGAGATAAGAAGAAGATAAAAAGAATACGTAAAACCAAATGAAGGGAGTTTTGCTTCTGGCAATCGCTCCTATGGACCAATTCTCCTGTGAATAACAAATGTAACTCTGAACAAAATATGTAAAATGACTATCTGAAAGTACTACAGTCTAAAGCAAGCAAAAACTGGAAGAGAATTGACACTGAGTGAATTTCCCATTTTTACAGTTTTCCAACTGAAGAAAGGACCTAGGTTGGTGCTACCTGGGGCAACTAGAACTTGGGTAAGAATCTGCAGTCTTATTGGTTTGAATATTGGAGGAGAGCTCTACCTGAACTAGAATTCAGGGTTACCACAGTAGCTGAAAAATGAAGGGGAGAAATCCAGGAAAGGAGAGAACAACAAAAGAAGAGCCCCAAACTCTATGTATAAACTCTGCCTAAATGTCTGGGTGATTCCTGAACTACACATATATTGGGCAAACTCCAAGCACATCAGTTAAGGCTAAAAGTACTGAATAGAGATTTCAGCTTCCTCCCAACATAGGGATAATAAAGTTTACAGTCAGTCATCCATATCCATGGGGTTCTGCATCTGTGGATTCAACCAACCATGGATCAAAAATATTTGACAAAGAAATTGTGCCTATACTGATATGTACAGAGTTTTTTTCTTATCAATATTCCCTAAACAATAAATTATAATGACTATTTACATAGCATTTGCATAATATTAGGTATTATAAGCAATTTAGAGATGATTTAAAGTATACAGGAGGATGTGCATAGGTTATATGCAAATACTACCCTATTTTATATTAGGGACTTGAGCATCTACAGATTTTAGTATCCATGGGAGGTCCTAACAAATCCCCCATGGATACTGAGGGATGACTGTAGTTTGTGTTCAACCAAGTTAACAGCCTACTAAAACAAAACAAAACAAAAAAAATCAACTCTCTTCAGAGGAACATAGCAGAATACAGTTTCTGTAATGTATTAGGTGCAATGTCAGGATACAATACAAATATGTTTAGTAAAGTGAAAAAACAGGAAAATGTGACTCAGACTCAACAAAAAATATGTCAATGGAGCCTAAACATGAGATGATGCAGATTTTTAAATCAGTATACAAAGATTTTAAAGTCAGTAATAACAGCATAGTAATCACTATGCTGAAGGATGTAAAGATAAATATTATTGTAATGAATGAGCAAATAGGAACTATCAGCAGAGAAAGAGAAACTGTAAAAAAGAACAAATGAAAATTCTAAAACTGAATAGCTAAAATAAAAAATTCACTGGAGGTGCTTAACAGAAACTTGGAGGTGACATAAGAGTCAGTGAAATTGAAGATGGAGTAATAGAAATTGCCCAATCTGAAAAACAATGAGAAAAGATTGAATGAAATAAACAGAGCTTCAGTAATCTGTGGGACAATTTATCTAACTTTTTAACTATACATCTTTGTATTTTTTGTCATAAAATAGAATTCTGTAGCATTCAGGAACTACCCAGAAAGCAAAACCTTGTTCAGTTGCCTTCAATGATAAATTCTGCCAAATATTAAAAAATTTAACATAAATTATTCCCAGACACTCCTAAAAACAGAACAGTGAATGATCCTCAAGTCACTCTATGGGGCCAATGTTATCCTGATATCAAAATCAGACAAAGACATCACAAGAAAATAAAACTACCTACCAATATTTCTTAAGAATAACACAATAAAGACTATATATGATAAACCCACAGCTAATATCATATTCAATGGTGAAAAGTTGAAAGCTTTTCTTCTAAGATCAGGAACAAGATAAGGATGCCCACTCATGCCACTTCCATACAGAATAATACTAGAAGTCCTAGACAGAGAAATGAGGAAAGAAAAAGAAACAAAAGATATCCAAATTGGAAAGGAAGAAGTAAAATTATCTGTTTGCAGACAACATGATCTTATATATAAAAAACCCTAAGAACTCCACCAAAATATTGTTAGAAATATTAATTCAGGAAAGTTGCAGGATACAAAATCAACATACGAAAATCAGTTGTGAATAAGTTGAGTGATTTTCCTTCATGTACTTGGTGCTCAGGGTGAGGAGTAGGATAAAATTCCATAGCCAATAATGCTACTGGGTTTCTTTCATGTTTCATATTTCCAGGTGAATGTCATGTGTGTATTGAATTTACATTTTCTTACAGTTCATCGGAATGTTGCAATGAAAACAGTTATAGATGGAATAAAAGCTTTTACAGGTTAAAAAAAATCAGTTGTGTTTCTCTACACTAACAGTGAACTATCTGAAAAACAAAAGAAAACCCTTATACATTGTTCATAGGAATGCAAACTGGTATAGCTGCTATGGAAAACAGTATGGAGGTTCCTCAAAAACTAAAAATAAAAACTACCATATGATCCAGCAACTCCACTTCTGGGTATTTATCCAAAGGAAATAAAATCACTATCTCAAAGAGATACCTGCACTCCCTTGTTCACTGCTGCATTATTCACAATAGCCAAGACATGGAAACAACCTAAGTGTTCATTTACAGATGAATACATAAAGAAAATGTGAAAAATGATATATATATATATATATATATATATAATATACATATATTCCATATATAATGGAATATTATTCAGCCATTAAAAAGAGAAGAGAATTTTGCCATTTGTGACAACACAGATGAATCTGGAGGACATTATGAATGAGCCATACACAGAAAAACAAATAATGCCTAATTCTCACTTAAATAAGAAATCAAAAAAGTTAAACTCATAGAAACAGAGAGTAGAAGAGTAGTTACTAGGGGCTGAGGGGAGCATAAATGAGGAAATGTTAAAGGGCACAAACTTTCAGTTATAAGATGAATAAGTTTTGGAGACCTAATGTACAGCATGGTTACTATAGTTAATGTGTCGTACACTTAAAATTTGCTAAGAGAGTAGATCTTATGTATTCTCATCACAAAATCAAAGGGAAACTATGTGAGCTGACCAAAATGCTAATTAGCTTGATTATGGTAATCATTTTACAATGTGTATGTATATATATACCAAAACATCATGTTTTACACCTTAAATATATACAATATTGTAAAATTTTTTTTAAAAACTTCCTTAAAAAAATTTAAGCAATCTGAAAGAACAAAGAAAAGGAGGAACTGAGAAACAAAAACAAATGGGACAAATTTACAACTTAATAATAAAAAGAAAATTAACCCAATTAAAAATGGGCAAAGGATCCGAATAGACATTTCTCCAAAGAAGATACACAAATGATCAATAAATACATGAAAAGATGCTCACTATCATTAGCCCCTGAGAAATGGAAATCAAAACCACAATGAGATATCACTTCAAACCCACTAGGATGGTTATTAAAAAGGTCAGATAATTAGTTTCAGAGAAGATTTAGGTAATTGTAACCCATATGCATTGCTGGTGGGAATGAAAATTAGTGCAGCCACGTTGGGAAACAGTCTGGCAATTCCTCAGAAAGTTAAATATAGAATTATCATATAATCCAGAAATTCCACTGATAGGTACATACCCAAGAGAAATGAAAACATACAAGGGTACTTCAAAAAGTTCATGGAAAAATAGAATTAAAAGATAATATGGGGCCAAGCCCGTGGCACACTCGGGAGAGTGCGGCACTGGGAGCGCAGTGGCACTCCCTCCGCGGGTTCGGATCCTACATAGGGATGGCCCGTGCGCTCACTGGCTGAGCACGGTGCGGCCGGTCTCAAAAAGGACAAAAAAAAAAAAAAAGATAATATGAATCTTTCCATGAACTTTTTGAAGTACTCTCATATGTATGCACAAAAACTTGTACATGAATGTTCATAGTAGGATTATTTATAATATAATAGCTAAAGGGTAGAAACAACCCAAATGCCCATCAACAGATATGTATAGATAAACAAAATGTGATATATCCATACAATGGAATATTGTTTGGCCATAAAAAGGAATGAAGTACTGATATATAATATCAATAAACTTGAAAATATTATGCTAAGTGAAAGAAGCCAGTCACAGAAAAACTGCATATTATATGATTCCATTTTTATCAAATGTCCAGAATAGGCAAATCCATAGTTTTTTGTTTGTTTGTTTACCATTTGATTGTGGGAAATAGGGAGGGAGCTATTGCTTGAGATATCTTTGTAGCAGGTAACTGTATTGCTGTACTAAACAGTTTTATAGTTGTTATTGTCACAACCCAATGTACCTAAGACATGCCCACTCTCTGTCCTTTCCATAGTTTGCATAATTTCCCTTGTTAGAAGTCTTCTTTTGCAAATGACTCTGTTTTACTTACTTAGTACAACATCCAAGCCAAATGAGGGTTGGGAGTGTAACAGTATAATCACTTAGTTAAGTCACTTGTCCTTTCCATTAGTATTTATAGAGTTTAGATTTGTGTCCTGCTAACAAGCCCAAAGTCCAAATATATTTTTAAGCTCTGGTATGGATTTGATCCATTTTCTCAGGTTGGCTTTTTATTTCTTTGTCTTGTCTTCTAGGCTGATTAGTAATTCCCTTGATATAGTTTTATCTGCAAGAATTCCTTCAAGTCTGTAGTCTGCTGATGGCAAGCATCTCCGTTCACAATGGATATCACAGATTCCCTTTTCATTCTTCCCTGATATTATATATCTTTGATCATTTCAAATGGAATTTATTAAAGAGCAGTTAAATATTTGGGCTCAAATTGTCATTAAAAATAACTCAATAATATTTACTAAGACTAACTGAGATGAAACCATCTAAATTCTAGGTTACAATTCTCCCAGTGATTTCATGAATCCTTACACTGAGCGCCTAACTGTGAGTCTTCATGGTTAACTAAAGTCAGTATAGAAGTTGATAGTGCTTTCATTGTATATAAGAAAAAAACCCTTTAAAAAATTAGTATAGTAATAGGTATTTTAGCTTTATTTGTATAACTATCTTGAAGTAGTTATATTAATTTCATAGATGTTTTAAGCCTGGAACGTAGCATAAAGAGAATGACAATGAGAAGAGAGTCTCATCAATAATAATTCTGAGATTTCAACATGTAACCTGCAGAACATTTTACAAACTCTGGAGGTTCAGAGAATACTTTAATGAACAAGAACGCTGTAACAAACATTATTAAGTGGTTTTTAAAGTAACACATTTAAAAATTAATTCTCACCTCTTTTGAAAAGCTTTTCATTTTCATCTACATAATTTATTATTTCTGGCATTAAGTTTAATGACTCCTTCAGTTCTGGGAGTGATGGAATATCAATTTCTTGTCTGAGACTTGTAGATATTAAGAATTCATCCTCAATAGGACAAATTGATGGCTGAAATAATATATAGTTACAAGAAGTTTTTAGGGAGGTTTTCCAAATAAATATTTTTGAATTCATAAATGAATATATTTGCTTAAATGGTATACTAAATTTTAAACTAAACTCATACTCAAAATTTCTAATTCTATACATACTTTTGGGAAACAGAAGTGTAGCAGCCTTTCAAATATATATTCTATTACAAGCAATGTTCTCTCTGAGTAATGTCTTCCATGGTCACTCATTACATTAATGATGTACAATATCCCTAGTTGCAGAAATATCTTCCTTTCGGCTAATAGCAAACTTTAAAAATTGTAAATTAAAAATAATCACTGTAGCACAGGAGAGATGGTAATAAGGGAGAAGTGAAAAGAGATTATGCAATAGAATGGATCTTTACTGCACTTGATGGAATATTTCTCTTTTATTCCTACAGAACTAGATTCCTCAACAAGTGAGACTGACTACCTGCACAACTCTCAGAGTTAAAAGGGGAGGGGCAAAGGAAATGGAGAAAAGGGGCCAATAGGTGAATTAATATTCCTACCACCATGTTAAATTTTTAATTGTAAGGAAATCCTTTAAGTGCCTTAAGTCCACTATACGTATGTCCTTTGAATATATTAAGAAAAACCCCAAATATAAAAACATTTTTAGTTGTCTTCGAAAAAAACATTTAAGTAAATTTGTGAATGCATCTAATATATACGGGCCTAGATTTTTGAGCTTGTTAAACTGCAAAAAGTTATGTGCATTCTCAACTGCTAGAATTCTTTACATATTAACATCATAACAATTTTGTGTGCTATTAGAACTGTATGCTCAAACTTCTTTGAGAATTTTGACGTTTGATATGCAAGGATGCTATTTTCCTTATTAAACACAGGCAGCACCTAAAATTCAGTCTTGGACTATTTATATTCTTACTATTTCAATAAGGTATCTTCTGTTATAGCTCAAGTATTATCTGTTTTGTGCACAGCTCACATACAAACATTTCTAACTCCAGTCTTCAATTTTTAAAGTAGACATGACTACTTAATTCACTACACCTTGTATATTGATTAGGATTATTGGGAGAGGTTTTAAAATTCCCTGTATCTGGGCTGCACATCTGGCCAATTAAATCATAATATATCTGGATAGGACCCAAGCTTCAACATTTTTTTATTTTTTATTTTTATTTTATTATTATTTTTTTTTCCTTTTTGTCTTTTTTCGTGACCGGCAACGGATCGCAACCCTCAGTGTCGCACCCGTACCGGACCGGGACCGGGACCGGCAACGGGATCGCAACCCTCGGTGTTGCGCCCACACCTCGCTCAGCCAGTGAGCGGCCAGTCTGTATGTGGGATCCGAACCCTTGGCGGGAGCACCACCGCACTCCCAAGCGGCGCACTGTAGCAGTGCGCCACCGGGCCGGCCCAACATTTTTTTATTTTTATATATACTTTTATTTTATGTAGGAATCAGACTTCCCAGTTTCAGTATATATTTTTTAAACTCCCCAGGTAATTCTAATGTGCAGCCAATGCTGAGAATCACTACTTAGAAGTAAATTTGACTCCTTAATTGATATACATTCAACCTATTATCAAATCTTTTAAATCTGACAATTGTAGACAATGTGTATTATTAAAATTTATAGAGGTATGCTTTATTACTTTTATAAAAATATTATTGAAAGCAAATGTTACAACTTCATGTAAACCTACTGTATCTTCTAGTTTCTCCTGACAAAAGTTCTCTTTATCCATATAAGAATCTTTCACAAAAACTTCCAAATCTCCTTGAAAAGAGTAACTTTCCCTTAAAAACAAAACAACATTAATTAGTATTTACTAAAAGCAAATTACATACTAAATGTAGCCAGCCAAAACACATAACGATTAAAACTAAGTTGAGGTAAAGCAATAGCAAAATATTATTATTGATAACATCTAAACCTGTGATCAGACAAAGAATATTTTCTCCTCTTGAAAAAACTTACAGCATTGGACAATTACGTACCTGAAAAATTTAGCTTCTGTGAAGTTCTGAGCTTTGAAATCTAAAAGGGGGTCCTTTACCAAAAATGGTTTTAGTTTACTCAAGAGAGTTTGCAAAGTTGGTAGCTGACTTTTATAGGCCATCGAATTATCTACAAAAATTATTTCTTCCTCATCAATAGACAAATCTGAAAATAAGAAATATAAAGGAGTAAGAAAAAATCTGAAGGTTATACAAATGAGTCTGGATAGTTACTATAATCAGGCATTAGACACAGTTGGGTTTTTCAAACACATCTTTAATTCTTTAGTTCTTCATTATACTATGCATACAAAGTATGTAGCATAGCACTGGAACATAGGCAAATGCTCAATAAATTTTAATATTGCTTAATACACTGAGGAATAGCCCAATATCCTAAAAGAGTTGCAGTGGACATACTCTACCAACAAAGATCAGTTTTACCAATGGAGGAAAATATCCTGTGGTCTTATTCAAAATACAGCAGTAGCCTAGGCAAAATTGTAAAGGAATAAAAGCATTTGACTTTTGCAACCCTGGTCTTCTCTTCTCTGTATCATTTTACCTCTTAAGGTCTCTAGTTCATCCCCTAAGACTCAGACATGAAGGAAATAGAAGTGGTCTACAGAGCCTATGAATGAGACTCTGATTCTATCATTCTAAAATTATTCATATATGGCTGCTTTAAAATTAATTATAATGAAAGCTATATAGCAACGTATCTACTTGGGAGGTGTAATAGACCTTACATATTAAGAGACACTACTGCTAACAGATAACTTTGCTGGAATAAATTTCTCCTCTCTATCCCCACCCTCCCATGTGTGGATTACATTTAGAATCTTGGCTAACTGTATGAGAGCTTTAACAGTTTCTGAGCCAGGACTGGGAACATAAAACCTGCCTCTATTCTTCAATATATTCCTGAGTGGAAAGAAAAAAAGCAAAATGTAAGCTCAGATGAAGAACTACTCAGAAAGCCTAGCTTTCCAAAGTGAAAGCCACCTTGATGAAGGAGCAATGGTCTGTTGCTCTGGGTAGTAACTTTTCAGTTAAGTGATGGTAGATTGGCATGAGAGAGAAACAGTATGGAGTTTTCAAGTAGTGATGTCTCCCTTCACTATCTAATTGATATGCATACGCCTAATAAATATGTGGTATAAAGCAGGAAGCCAGGAAACATCCCTTTGCCTGGTGCTAACTGGAAATGCCAAGAGAATGTGTGATATAAACTAGTCTCCTAAGAGATTGGTTATCTGAACCTGTTAAGTTCCTGATGATCTCATGGCCAAAAACTTCCCATGAGACACCAAAGAAAGCTAGTCAACCAATTCCTTGTCTAAGGAGTGTGTATATGAGAAAGTTAAAATTGGTTTGTTCATATAATCCATTCTGTAAGTATTAATGAAGTCATATTAATAGTAAAAACCCAAATGGCTTTAGTTTATATCCCCATATCCACCTTCCATGTCCAAACACAGATTGTCCAGCCATGTTCCCTACCTAAAGCCTCATTCTGATATTTCTGAGAGTACATGGGGACATTTCACATCAGTTGAGATCTTGTTTTCCAACTACTCTTTTTTGAAGGAACCACTTGAGGGCAGCATCACACAACAACCAGTGTTCTTTGTATTTATACGAAAGTTTTGCCAATGGTGCTACTTCCTCATATTCTTACGGCTATACGGCATTCCTGGAATTCCTTCTTTATTACAACTACTATGTGCATTACTCTGTGCTTTCCTCTATTGTAGAGGAGCATTAAATTGTCACCAGGAAACAAAATTTTGGCTAGTTATCTATGAAAAAAGCAGAAAAAAAGAGGTATACTGATAGGAAAAAATATTTATTTGCAGAAGATAGTTTTGTATATCTATCTAGAAAACCCAAGATAACTGAATGAAAATAAAGGAGTTCACTAAGGTGCCTAATAATTATAAAAATTAATCGTTTATAACATATAGAAACCAAGTCATAAAAATTAATAGAAAAAACATTCATAATGGTCACCAATATATGAAATATCAAGAAATAAACATAACAAAAATGTTCAGAAGTTATATGGAGGAAACTATAAAACTTTACTGAGGACCATTTAAAAAGAGCAATTTGAAGAAAAGGCAAGATAAACCATTTTCCTGGCTAGCAAGACTAACTACGGTAAAAGAATAAGGATCCCAATACCATTTCAATTTCTCAAGAAGTCTGTTTTGAAACTTGGAAAATTGATTACAAAGTAAATCTGGAAGAATAAAGATATAAGAGTAGAAAAAATAACAAAAAAGAGGATACTGTTAATACATGTTACAGTTAAATATTAAATAGTTAAAACCATGATACTGACACAATAATAAGCAAAACAATAGAACATAATAGAAAATCCAGAAACAAACTCTAATGTGGATAAGAACTTAGTATATGATGTAAGTGGCATTGCTAATCAGTGGTAAGAAAAAGGATTTTTCTATAAATGATATTGAGACAACTGCAAAAACATTAGTAAAAAAATATTTTTTATTCCTACTTTTAAACATATACCAAAATCTGAACTAAAGCCTTACAAAACCTTAAAGAAAATACAAATAAACATTTATCTAATTAAGGAATAATTATCTAAGTATAAAAGCAATGAAAGAAACCATGAAGGAAAATACAGACAGAACCAGTTAGGTTCAAATTAAATACATTTGGAGTTATTGATACCACTACATATAAAGATAAAATATATGAATAGAAAAACAGACAAAAGAGAAAGAATCATGTCAGAAAAGAAAAAGATGCAGATAGCCAATAAAGACCGGTAATTTTAAAAATGCATGTAAATATATAATTTTTTGCCCATTATATTGGTTTAACTGTATTACCACAATAACAGCAGTAATATACCCAATGATGATAAGGTGGCATGAACAGGGTATTTGCATACCATGCTAAAAAAATACTTATACCAAACAATTCAATTTTCAGGAATTCATTCTAAAGAAATAATTCAAAATGAGAACATACAGTTATGATCATATTTGAAATTAAAAATATTTGTGCTCTCAAATTGGGAAGTATGTGATACATACACAAGATTAAAAACTGCAGTCATTACAAGCCATGCTTTTGAAGAAATCTTAAGCACATGGTGAAATGTTCTCAAGATAACGTTAACATTTAAAAATAATATAATTCATATGCAGTATGATCAAAATAGTAAAATAGTTCATCTTTGGATTACATGATCATTAGGTTTTAGTAAAGGAGCATTCTATATATTTAAGATGTAGATATCTTAGCATACATAGAAAAATGTTGATAAAATTCAATCCTCATTCATGATTAAAAGCTGTTAGCAGACTAGGAACATAAGAAATCCTCCTCACCTAATAAAGGAAAAGCTGCTAACATTTCACCATTGAAATGGTGCATTCTTAACACCTCACTATTGAAATGTTAGAAGGATTTCCTTTATTCTAAGGAAAAAGACAAGGACTATCACTGCTTCTATTGAACAATGTACTGAAGGTCCTAATCAGCACAGTAAGACAAAAAAAAAAGATATAAATATTGCAAAGTAAAAAACAAGATGACCATTATTCACAGACAACGTGATTTTTGTACGTTACAATTATTAGAATTAATTACTGGAATCAATAAGAAAGTTTAAGAGCTGGGTGAGTATAACAGCACTATGAAATTAACTGCCTTTGTTAAACATAAGCAATAAACAGAAAACGGTTTAGAAATATAGTGGCAGCTAAAAAAAAGTACTTTATTAAAGTAAAATAAAGTACTAAAATAAAATAATAAATCTTATAAAAGACATGTAACATCTTTATGTAGAAAATTTTTAAATGTTTTAAAAAAAGATGTATAACATCTTTATGAAGAAAAATTTTAAATTTTGTTGAAAGACATTAAAGAAAACCGCAGTAAATGAACAATGGGAGATTCGGGAAGAGTGAACAGGAGAAACCTGAAGGAAAGAATTTATCAAAGAAATAATTCAAGAAAATTTCTCAAAATTGAAGTTCATGAATATATAGATTAGAAGGGTACATAACGTGCCCAGTCTAATGTATGAAATAAGACACACCATTGTGAAATTTCAGAACACTGGGGGGAAAAAATCATTAATGTTTTCAGAATGAAAAGGAGATCATGTAAAAATACTCAGGAATCACTGGAGCCCCTACCAAAGCTCCTGCCCACTACTCCAAAGGGCATGGGGAGGGCCAGTCCCCAAGGAGCGAGAACCCCAGAGCAGGTGCTGGAACTCACAGGCCCAAGCCTCAGTGCCCCAGCTGCACCCATGATGTGGGGCCTGCAGCAGCGCAGCCCAACCTCTGACCCTGCTGACTGCACCTGGCACCGACTTTGTGTTCATTTTTCAAGAAACAATACAAATTGCTGCTTGGATTTTGAAATTTATTGTAACTGTCAGTGTAGGGTCCATGTCCAGTTCCTGTTTCATTTTTAGACCAACTTGGTAAAAATGCTCCTCTTGACACCCTGTACTCTGGGAGCCTCCTCACACGTGAGGTCTGGGAAAAAAATTTTTTTAGGAATCAGAGTGGCACTGGACTTCTCAACAGCAATACCATAAGCTAGAATAAAATGGAGCAATGCCTTTAAAACTCTGAGAAAAAAAATTATTTCCAATCTAAAATTCTAAAACTAGCCAAAATAATTAAATGTGGGGATAGAATGAAGACTTTTTGGACATTGAAGTTTTAAAAAAAATTATCTCCCATGTACCTATTCTCAGGAAGCTACAAGTAGAAGTACTCTACTGAAAGGAGGGCATAAACTGACAGCCACAAGATTGAAGAAACAGGGGAACCAATATAAGAAAGAAGTAAAAACAGTACCCAAGGATGATGGTGATAATGACTGGTTCTATAACGAAAAATCCCAAAGATGAAACTACTCATATACTTGATGTTTGAATATATTAAAAGGAGATTTAGACAACTAAGGGAGGATTTCAGGATCAAGTTCTAGTACTAAATACACAGAAAACTAAGAAAAACAGAAAATAACCATTAACTTTGTGGAATACAAGAAAGAAATCATTGAACACCACAATACTTTTTTCAGCTGTGAATAGTATTTATACAATCATAGTTCTATAAATACTGAATATTTAACCACAGTTATAATATAACTATACTGGGAAAGTGGACAATAGGAAGTGTGGGTGTATGTGGTGTTAAGTATGTAGAAGAGCAAAGACAGGTCCATCTTCATTTTCATGATTAGAAGTCAATAGATAAAGCCAGAAACCAAAACATCAACAAATAGCAGTATAAGCATGTCATACATAAATAAATGGTAAAAGGAGTTGAGTTTTTGGTTTTTTTTTAAATTCTGTTTCAAAGAGTTGAAAGCAACTGCCTCTGGAGAGTAAAAAAATGGGGTGATTGATGAAGCCAGGATTGTTGCTTCTTATTATAAACTTTAATGAACTGACTCTCTAAACTATATGCATGTACAACTTTGTTTTATTTATTTATTTATTTTTTTCAATCTCTTTAGTCTTTATTTTATTTTATTTTATTTTTTTGGTGGCTGGTGGGTATGGGGATCCAAACCCTTGATCTTGGTGTTACCAATACCATTCTCTAACGAAGTAAGCTAACCAGTCAGACTTACACTCCTACCCCCCATGTATTTCATAACATTGTACAACTTTATTTTTTTTTATTTTTTATTTTTTTTGTCTTTTTCGTGACTGGTAAGGGGATGGCAACCCTTGCCCGCACCGCGCTCAGCCAGTGAGCGCACCGGCCATTCCTATATAGGATCCGAACCCGCGGTGGGAGCGACACTGCACTCCCAGCGCTGCACCCTCCCGAGTGCGCCACAGGGCCGGCCTGATTTTTTTAAAAACTAAAAATATAAGTGGTGAACCATCCCTTTACATATACATACATATTATTCTATCCCCGGAAAAAAATTATATACAAAATTAGAAGAACAAATTAAGAGAAAGAAATTATAGAAGAAAATTAGAAACCATAAATTTTTCCCCCAAATCCCAAAATGAGAACTTTCCCAAAACTGCCCCCCTTTTTTTTTTTTTTTTTTTTGTCTTTTTCCGTGTCCGGCAACGGATCGCAACCCTCAGTGCCGCCCCCGTACCGGACCGGGACCGGCAACGGGATCGCAACCCTCGGTGTTGCTCCCACACCTCGCTCAGCCAGTGAGCGGGAACCGGTCTGTATGTGGGATCCGAACCCTCGGGTGGGAGCGCCGCTGCGCTTCCCAAGAGGCGCACTATCCAGTGCGCCACCGGGCCAGCCCCAAAACTGCACCACTTTTTAAGAGTAGATTTGGACTGAAAATTCAAGTCTTCGGACTCCAAATTCAGGCTCTTTTTACTGTATCATGCTCTCAAGTTTACTCCTTAATAAAATCAATTTCTCTCTCTACTCAAACTATAAGAGGGACTTATTTCTCTGTATATCATCACATACTGACATATTTGCCAACACTAAAAATTTTATACACAATTTATGTATTTACCTAAAAATAACAGTAAAAGAATCAAGTTATTGTTCATGTTCAAGCTATCCTATTTATTAAATGATAGTAGTAATTATATAATAGAGGCTTAAGTTCTGTAATTTAAAAAGGGAATAGGCTGTTATACCTACAAGAAAGGCAATTCTCAGCAAGTTTTTACATGGTTGAAAGAATTCAGCACCCTTTAGTAAGATGAGAGATTTGGAATATGATCTGGATAGAATATTCTTTTAATTATTATTGACAGTAAGTTTGCAAAACTGACATAATACTGAAACTATTCCATTTCTACTTTGAACTATGGTTTCACATACACTAGATGAGATTGAAAACCTTCAGCATGTTTTGAAAAATAAAATATACCATCACTTCATAATCTAGTGATTTAATGTTACACTGGACTGCTATGTCATGAGATCTGTACACAGATGCCCATATCTTCAAAGCAATATGTTGTGAGCACACTATGATCAAATCTCTGTAGGTTATTTTGAGTCCCAGCAAACTTAAACTCCAAAAATAAACCAATTTTCAAAAAAGATATTAATATGAATGAGTAAATATTTCCATTATGTGGCAAAGCTTAGAATTATAATTATGCATGTGGATATCTATATAAAACAAAAAACTTAAAAATTCTACCAAACAAAAAAACTCACTGAAATTAAAGTCTGCACATTAGTAAGAAATGTTTTATAATAATTGAAATAACAAATGTTTTACCTTGGTTTTGTGTTTGAAGTGCTGGACATTTTCCTAAACAGTTGACAGGTGTAAAGACTTCACTGTAGTCATTGTGGGTGTATAAGCCGGCTTCCTCTACTTCAGTTTGGGAGTTTGGATTTGAACTTGGAACAATTTCCTCAAATTCACAATTAATCTGGGTCACAGTTCCTGTAACTGTTTTTCTATGACATTATAAAATTGCTGATTTTATGTATGTCTTATTTTTAAACATTTTAATTAGAAAATAGTACATGTTCATTGTGAGAAAATTATCAAATTCCAATGAATGCAGAAAAAAATCATCTATAGTTTGACCACTTGAGATGACTGCAAAAATTATGTAAATTTCACAATTATTTTAGAATATTTTAAAACAAATGTGGGTTCATGTATATAGTAGTATTCAGTTCTTTTCTGCTAAACAATGAAACATAAGCACACCAATCAATGTACATTAATTTCATTTTTGAATGGACGAACAAGATCTCATTGTATCAGTAAATCATAACTTATTCAACCAGTTCCCTAGTGTTGAAAATTTGTTTGTTGTAATTGTTTGCTATCATGAGCAATAATGCAAGGAACATCTTTGTGCACTTGTCTAATAATTTTCTTAAAATACATTTCCTAAAAACAGAAATGATGAGGTTAAAGGTATACAGATTTTTTAGGTTATGCCACACATTGCCAAACTGCCCTTTTTTTGTATATTCAATGTCTGTTCCTCAGTATCATTATCCAGCCTTTTATAATCTGCTCTGCAAACTGGGGCCGATCTCTATGAAGCAACCAATTTCCTTTCCCTCTGGCTTCTGGTTGGGTTCAGCCAATGAGAAGCACTGGCAGGAGATCAAAGGTGGAAGAGAGAAAATTTGGGATATTATTCCTCCCAATCCTTCTTTGCTAGGCTACAGTTTGGAAGTAGCTGCATTCTTCCACCAAAGGTTACATCTCATGTTAGACAGCCCTTCTCCTGTAGCTGTAGTTCTTACTAGGTTGGTAACTGCTCAATCCCCTTGTTCCTTTAAGCTTATGATGGTAACAACTTCCTGCTGTTGCTAGTCCTGGGGACTTTTTTTTGCTCCGTTAACCTTGCCCATATTGGTATCCTAGTATATTTTAGCCCTAATAATTCCCTTGTGCAGACTGAAAAAACCAAAATCAATATAACACCCCAATGTAATTGGAGAAAAAAATGAATACGCCACATCTTAAAATCATTGGTAGAAAAATTTCTAAACTTTCTCCTTTACTCTTTAAGAAAATACAAGATACATGAAGAAATATTTAAACTCTCCCATGTCCATATTATTCATGAAGAGCACTGATTCCTATGTGAATCTTTATAAACTTCTTAATTTAGTGCTTACATAGCTGCTGTCTTTTTAAAAATAAATGTGGCTGACAGAGTCAGCACTTTGTAATAAAACTTAGTTCTACAGTAGTTTTGAGAGCACCCAGTCAATTCTCTTTTCCTAAATACAAATGATCTATAAAGACCAGTGTTTCCCAGCTTTCCTCCTATCTCCCTTTCCAATATTATTCGTTCTTTTTTTACTGGTGCCTCCTCCGTTTCCTATCTAACCTGTAGATAACTGGCGTTTCCCAGGTTTCCAATTTAGATCGTCTTTGCTTTCTTTCCATATCATTCTTTTTGGGTAAATTCACCTACTTCCATTCATTAATTCCCTAACTTAAGCAAAACTATTCACTGAGTGTTTACAATGTGCTAACATTATTCTACATACTGGGAAAAGAGTAGTAAACAAAACAAAGTTCTTTCCCTCATGAAGCTTATCTGCTAAAATGAAGACAGACAAATAAATATATAACATAATGTCAGGTGGTAAAAAGCATACTGAATGAAATAAAACAAGATATTTGGCACTTTAATAAGATCCTCAGGTGATTCATACATACAGTTAAGTCTGAGAGGCATTGATCCATCATCATCAGACTAATAAAGAAAGCGAGGGTCAAAAGTAAAATGACTGGTTAAGTAGTTCGAACTTGACTTTTCCAGTCAAGACTTGAAATCCACATTTTTAAATTCATGGTGCAGAGCTCTTTTCACCACACTTTTCTGCTTTCTCACTGCTCAGTTTACACATGTAACAGATACTTCTTATTTGCCTCATGCCTCATAATAGACCTTATGTTGGTCATCTTATGTTATTTAATTTTTACATTGCTCATTTTTTCTATGTTTATATATTATCTTCCTAATCTGACTTTTAAAATTCCTAGATGATAGAAATGGTATATTTGGCTTCACTGTATCCAGAGTCTAGACACATTTAAATGGCTTTTTGTTTCTTTTAAGCACAACTAAGCAAAATTTAAATTAGTTAAAACTTGAAAATGTGAATAATCACAGAATCCCTCCTGAGTCTGATTAGCACTCTGTTCTTGAAGTGAAGCAACAGAGTAAATTATGTACATTTGCACTGAAATCTCTAATTTTTGTTGACATTAACAATGTAGAACAGGTTAGATGTTCTTCCTCATATTATGCTCTGTGTACCTATTTCTGTCATTGTACTTCATACACTGTATTGTAATTATTTATTTATAAATCTCTATTCCCTGTTTTCTTGCATTCTTTTAGGGTACAGACTATGTCTTTGTTTTTTTATGCTGTATCCAACACACAGGATAGTACCCAATAAATATTTGATGAATGACTAAACTAATAATAAATAACACTTTGACATTTAGGTTAGAAAATAGCCTTAAAGCTGCATTTATACTACAGGAAAAAAGACTGATTTTAATATAAAGGACTTTCTATAGACACTTTGTAAAGAAAGTTTACTTATTGATTAAAAGCATAATAATTTCTTTATTTCTGTGTGTCTTTTGCAACACAAATGCATACAGAACAGTTAAGATATTAGGGAAGGATGAAAAGATAATATAAATCACTTTTATTAGCCTCTCTTTTGTGGTTAAAATTGGGGTTCTTTCTTTAGATAAAAGAAGAAACCCTGTGAGGAGATAAAGGAAGGAATTTTCCCTTTTTAGGTGTCTGGAAAACTTACTGTTCACCTTCTAGATGTAAAAGGTAAATTTGAGGTTAAAGACACATACTTCTCAAGGAAATCCTCCACAAAGAGACTTGCTTTCCATTGATCCAGGACTGAGATATCTGTCATTTCCTGAACTGAAACAGCTGAGGCTAGAAAGGAGAATGGTAAACATTAGCTTCTGGAACTTCTTTTATACTTGGTATAAGGAAGCCAAACATTCACCTTTTATATTATGGTGTTATATTTATTTGTTTACAAATGTATTTTTTTCCAAAGTGATACCTGATTCCAAATATTTAAATAATCATCCTCATTATTACAACCTGTTTCCCTCCCCCGCAAAACTCGACTACAGTCAGAACAATATCACCTGAACATACCATCCTCATTTTTACAGCCTCTCTTTTGCTTATACGGCACTACTATCCCAGAAAGTCCTGTTCAACAGCTCATGCGATATACCTCATAAAGCCTTCATTAACCATTCCAGCTCACTCGGATATATTCCCCTTGAAGGGCTATAATATTGTCAGTATTATTCTGGTACTTAATCATATACAGTCTTATATTTAAAATTTTATGTATCTATAGCTTGTCTCCCAAATTAGATGCTTGGTTCCTTTAAAAGAGGTACCATATACTAGTCATATACTAGTGTCAGAATAAGCAACTGAGTACTCTACGACCAGTATTACTTCTTACTAGTTTTGTTACCTTAAACAAATCACTTAACATCTGAGTCTGTGCCATATTGAAAAAATATAAAAGGTTAGTGGTTAAGAGTACAGGTTCTGGAATCACTCTGCCTAGATTTTAATCCTTGTACTGCTACTTATTAACTATATGAGCATGGGTAAATCTCTTTCCCTCCTTGTACCTCAGTTTTCTTATGTACAAATTAGGAATAATAATAGTCTTTTCATAGTGTTATTATAAAGATTAAATGTGATGAGACATGCAAATTGCCTAGAATGGTGTCTGAGATACTGTAAATAGTAAATAAATTTTGGTTGTTATTGTTATTATTTTTAAAAAGAAGAAAAGGAGAAAAGAAACAGGAAGAAATGATAAACTTGTTTTTTCCCTTCTGTACTTTTAGAGCAGTAGTTTGATAATATCTTATATAATAAAGACAATATGTTTATCTTATATCTAAACTGATTGAGATCTTAAATCCATTTACTCTTCCACTTTTACAATATTCATCATCCTCCTTCATGTCATCACTTCTGTTCTCAATATAGTTTAGGTTCCATGGCCAATCCCATAACCACTGCCTTACAAGGACTTTTTTTGTCTTTTTTCGTGACCAGCAACAGGATCGCAACCCTCGGTGTCGCGCCCGCACCGCACTCAACCAGTGAGCGGACCGGTCTCCACATGGGATTGTCATCACTTCTGTTCTCAATATAGTTTAGGTTCCATGGCCAATCCCATAACCACTGCCTTACAAGGACTTTTGTTGTCTTTTTTCGTGACCAGCAACAGGATCGCAACCCTCGGTGTCGCGCCCGCACCGCACTCAACCAGTGAGCGGACCGGTCTCCACATGGGATCCGAACCCTCAGCGGGAGTGCCGCACTCTACCGAGTGCGCCACTGGGCCGGCCCCTTACAAGGACTTTTGATTCCCTTGCCTCTCTTTTCCTATTTAGTATAAGAATAGTATAAGAAAACCTCTACTCTCCACTTTTTATGTATGCACAGTAGAACAGCTGAAAATTATAGGGGAAAAAAATCACACAGCCTTGCTGAATAAACTCATTTAAAATTATGACCATAAATTTCAAATGGCCATCAAACATTCACAAGTGATAACAGTACTCCTCTTAATAAAACTGGGTTTCTCACTCTTTAAAAAATACATTCCACTCTATCAAATCTTCAATGCTCATCCATTTGTCCAAATTCGGTCTATAACTTTATCTTTACATAGAAAATTGATATAAATAGAAAAGAACTACATCATCTTCCATCACCAGTTTTACCAACCTATTGGCATAGGTGCCTATAAACCCTGTCTTTCCATCTATACAAGGGAAGAACTATTTTGGCTCCTATTGAATATCAACTTTTCTTTTTTTTTTTTTTTCCTGACTGGTAAGGGGATTGCAACCCTCTCTGCACCACGCTCAGCCAGTGAGCACACTGGCCATCCCTATATAGGATCCGAACCTGCAGCCTCAGCGCTACCAGCGCCACACTCTCCCAAGTGAGCCACGGGGCTGGCCCTGAATATCAACTTTTCTAATTGTACTCTTGATTCTATCCTCTTTTACACCAAAGTTATCCTTTTTCTTTCCTGCATCATCATATTCTCTTTTTACCAAGATCATTTCCATTGGCAAACAAACATTTTAGTCTCTTCATTACACACACACAAAAAAGGTACATCTAAAAAAAACAAAAACAAAAACAAAACTCTTTACCCCACTTCTCCCTGCAACTATTGCCTCATTTTTTATTTTCCTTCATAGCAAAATTTCTCAAGAGTTGTCCAAATTGACTATCTCATGTCCCCATTTCCCATTCTCTTCTCAACATACTCCAGTCATATTCCAATCAACCCCAATCATACATTCCAATCATATTTATAAGTAATATTCCAGTGAAACCACTCTTATCAAGCTTATCAATGACCTATATTTAGTCAAGCTAATGGCTCTCTCACTATTCTCATCTTACTTTACCTTTTAACAGGAGCCAATGCATTTGATTATTTCTTCTTTCTTGAAGCACTTTCTTCTTTAGAATTCTACAACAACATACTCACCTGATTTTCCTATCATGATTCTTAGCTTTTTACTCCTTTATCAGACTTTTAACTGTTGGAGTGTTCCAGGGATCTATCCTAGGTTCTCTGCTCTATCTATACACATGCTCTCAGTAACTTCATTCAGCTTCATGAGTTTACACACAGTCTACATATTGATGAATCCAATCTGAAAATCCAGCGTGTGAAGTAGACACTGTGAACTGTTTACTAACTTGTCTGAGTATGGTGAGACAAGACACCCACACACAAGGTACATGAAGTGGATTTACTACTTACAGATAGACAACAAGGGACAACAGAAGCCTAGCATCATTGTGAGCGAGTTCCCTAAGGCTCAGGAAAGCTGCTAGGGACAGATAGAGTCTTGTCTGTATGTGCCCCACTTGCACAGCAGCTGAGGGACCCCAGAAAGTAGCCTGCCCCCAGACTTTATACCCCATGGTCACAGGAATCGCTAGGCTAAAGCATTGAGGGACATACTGTTTCTAGGGGGGAGACTGGAACATAGCCTGGGCTGTTCCAGCCAATTCTCCACTTTTCTCACGATGGTGCATTCCCAGAACATTCTACAGTTATTTTGAGAACTACAAGTGAGAAAGGGGGGAGAACTGGAACAGTTCAAGGCCATCTTGAGAACTGTCCTGCATAGCTGTGCTCAAGATTAATATAACCAATTGCCTCCTTAATGTCTCCATTTAGATACCTAATAATCTGGCCAAAGTAGAGCTATTGACTCTGGCCATAAATTGGCTTTTATCAAGCCGATTTTCCTATCTTAGAAAATGACGCTGTCATCCACCCAGTTGCTCAGGTCAAAAACCTAGAAGAAATTCTTTATTGTTTTATTTTTTTTAACCCCTTCATTATTGGCTGGACTTCTAATTTCAGTTTTAACCACTTCTCACATTTCCATTACTATTAGCCACCATCATCTTTTATCTAGAGTCTAGATTCATCTAGTAGTCTAGATTCTGGACTACTACAATAGCTTCCTGATTGATTTCTCTGCCTCTACTCTAGAGTCTCAATTCCTACCCTTTCCATCCTCCAGACAACCAGATGACCTTTGTAAAGCACAAATCAGGTTACATTGCTCCCTTTCTTAAAGCTGTGCAGTTATTTCTCACATCAGTAATTGTCTTAGTTGGTTTTGGCTGCTATAACAAAAATACCATAGACTGAGTGGCTCAAACAATAAACATTTATTCCTCACAGCTCTGGAGGCTGGGAAGTCCAAGGTCAAAGTGCAGGCAGAATCCATCTCTGGTGAAGGCCCACTTCTGGGTTCACAGACACCATCTTCTCACTGTGTCCTCACATGGCAGAAAGGGGTCTCTTTTATAAGTGTACTAATCCCAGGCCGGCCCGGTGGCGCACTGCTATAGTGCGCCGCTTGGGAAGCGCGGTGGCGCTCCCGCCGAGGGTTCGGATCCCACATACAGACCGGCCGCTCACTGGCTGAGCGAGGGGCAGGAGCAACACCGAGGGTTGCGATCCCGTGGCCGGTCCCGGTCCGGTACGGGCGCGACACTGAGGGTTGCGATCCGTTGCCGGTCACGAAAAGAAGACAAAAAGGGAAAAAAATAAAAAAATAAGTGTACTAATCCCATTCATGAGGGCTCCATTTTCATGACCTAATCACCTCCCAAAGGCCCCACTTCCAAACATTGGGAATTAGGTTTCAACACACGAATTTTGGGGGGACATAAACATCCAGTCTATTGCAGCCATAATATAAATTAATAAGTAAATAAACTCCATCTTATGGCCTACAAAGCCTTATATCATTCAAAAACTGTCTGCTTCTCAGATCACCCCTTTTCCATTTTCCAGTCACAATTGCCTAATTTTCTGGTCCTTACTCATAAGTTCATTCTTCAGTTAGGAACTTTGCATTTGCTTGAGAGGCTTTTTCCCTATATCTTTTTTTTTTTTTTCCTTTTTGTCTTTTTTCGTGACTGGTAACGGGATCACAACCCTCGGTGTCGCACCCGTACCGCGACCAGCAAGGGGATCGCAACCCTCGGTGTCGCACCCGCACCGCGCTCAACCAGTGAGCGGACCGGTCTCTATATGGGATCCGAACCCTTGGCGGGAGTGCTGCACTCTACCGAGTGCGCCACCGGGCCGGCCCCCCTATATCTTTTCATGATTGTTGCCTTCTCATCATTCAGGTCTCAACTCAAATGTCCACCTCATCTCAGAGGTCCTTCCCAAACCACGTTAGGAAATAGTACTCCCTGCTCCTGAAATTTGATATCACATTATATTATTGTGTCTTCTCTATACATTTATCAATACCAGACATTAGTTTATATATTTAACGGTTTTATTGCTGCGTCCTCCTTACCAATCTGAAAAGTCATTAAGGGCAGGGAGTATTTCTATGTCTTATTAGTAACTGTGTCCTCAGTACCTATAATAGAGTCTAATAAGTAATATATTCTAAATTAGTGTTGCTAACTGACATGACTCCTCTAAGAAGGCTATATCTTCCCTAGTCCATGACTTGATAAAAGCAAAAAAGTGGTATTTTATACATATATTTAAAAATAATTTTAAATTCAGTTATCATTACAACTTAAAGTAGCTCTCATATGGTCAAGAATAACCCTATTATAAAAAGACAAATAATCACAGTGTTAAAATATTTTGAGACTTCATCATCTACATATCTTTTATTTGTTTTATTCATATATAGTATAAGCTTTCCACTTCCTTACCTAGTCATCTAAATTCCATAATAAAAATATTAATTAGTAAACTTCTTGAAATTCTTATATGAATAAATGCCATGAGTTTTTATTTGGTGAATAAAGCACTGCATTTTAAAAATAATTTATTGTGATAAATTCTGAAATAATTTTTAAAACATATTTTTGAGAAATAAAAACAAAACATACCTCTTGTCCATGGCCTCCTAAATGTATCATCAATAACTCCTGCATGAGAATTTTCATCTTGATATAAACATGAAGGGATTCGAAGCAATAAAGCATCTCTGCAAAACTTCTTTCTAACTACATTCTGTGTAAGAAAAATAAGATTACAAAACCTCTGGCATATTTTATTTATCTATCAATATTCAAAATGTTAAATTTCTCTGTTACTTGAAACATATTATTTTTCTTTAAATAATGTACATTGCAAAATACCAAATAAAACAGAATCACATACTTGAGAAAGTCAAGGTATCTAATAATATCAGTAATAGTTTGGTGTATTCTTCCCACATATTTTTTTTCTAGTTTAGGCTAAAATATGTGTGTGTGTATTTGACAAAAAATGTCTCACATCATTTTTTATCATTTATCAATGATAAAAATCAAGCTTTTTCTTCCACTAAACAGTACTCACATAAGGAGGCTATCTTAACTTTTCTTTCTACATCTTTGCATTATTTCACCTGTTACAACTAGCAAATATGTTTCTAATTTAAAAATATATATCTAATAAAATTGTTTTTTAAAGGAATGTTAAAGCAGTTAAGTAAACTTGTAAATCAAAGTTCTCTCTAATTTGGCCCTCCCTTTACTTTCCAACTTTATCTCCCATTATTCAGTTCTCTTGAAATAGACTAGTCTCTTCACTACCTCCCTTAACATTCAGCAGTCATTCCCTCATGAACACTGTGGTCTACAATATACCTCTAAAAATGCCCTGCTATTCTTCTCTAGCTATCAAAATCCTATATCTTTCAAGGCCCGTCTTAAGCAATATCTCATCTGAGAAGCTTTTCTCCATTGACTCTAACTTCCCACTGAATTGATTATTCAGACAAATGATAGTTTTTTACTTTATTTCCCAAGAGTTTTATATCTGCTGAAGGTGTTATATGCAATAAGAGGTTCTCATTATCCAAGAATAAATGATACAGAGAAAAGATCATTTAAGGTAATTTATATAAAATAAAGACCAGAGGTTCAGAGTAAATAGAAAAATAGCTTGATAGTATGTTATCTAAAAAACTGAAATAAAGTTATGAAAAGTAAGCTTTATATCTAACAAAATTTTGTTTATAATAAAGCTTATAACTATAGTTGCTTTTTGTCATAATTTTCCCACAAATTGTATTATATGATAATAAGCATGATATTCGTTATTACTTCACCTTTGATCATCAAAAAGGTATTTTTAGAAACTATCTGAGAATTTTCCCAAGGCATTTCTGACTCCTTTGATATTGAAACCATTCTTTTCCCCTCATCTGTTAACTGATCTAATTTTGCAAGATCATCATTTGATAATAGCTTTACTTACTGTTTGAGTGGTTCTTCAACACTGTTTCATGAACTTTACAAAGTCCTGCATCCTCTGCAAGATTTGCCATTGATTATTAATATATGAGGGTACTTTAAAAAGTTCATGGAAAAATAGAATTGAAAGATAATATGAATCTTCCCATGAACTTTTTGAAGTACCCTTGTATTTGTATTATATCACAGGCTGTGGTACAACAGGAAAAAACAAAGACACTATGGGCAAAGATGAAAGTATGGGTATCGATTAATTTTTCATGTGGTCAATATATTCAGAAATAAGTCTGTGTTACAATGACTTCTGATTCCCTACCATGTACATCTTATAATTACACATTTGCTTCCTCAGTTATAAGAGAATAATGAAATTTGAAGCTGCCTATATGCTTTTCTTAATTCCTGCAAAATGTAATACAGTTTTAATTACATTGGGGTAATTTTTCTGTCCTGGTAGATGAGGTCAATGTTATAAAAAAAAAAAAAATTTAACTTGTAAAGATCATAAGAATAATGACCTGTTCTATGACATCTACTAGGATATGAATTTCAGCTCTGACATTTGTATAAGCTATTTAACTTTTCTGAACATTTGCTTCATAACCTGTGAAACTGTAAAACCTGTATAATAATAGTATCTACCTCATGGAGTAGTTATGATGATTAAATGATATAACCCATCAGAAAAGCAAAGTATCTGGCCCATACATGCTGTTACTGTTATCTTACAAAGATATCTAGAACTGCTTTTTCCCTACTCCTTTTGAGAAAGATCACTCCAAATTGTCATTAAAAACACTCCAAAGTTGCCAAGAATTTCAATTTTTTTCTTCTGTAAGCTTCAGATTCATTTTAATTGCTTAATTATTTTAATTTAGTAATTTACTTTTAAAAGTGGCATTTTTAAGGTATATTAAAAGTGGGGAGTAATTTTATATGAATCTAAAAGTAATTAGATTAAGGGTTAATCTAAGGATTACTGTAAAATGATCATATACTGAATGCAGATAACACTTTTTATATCACGATTCTTAGTAAATAGATAATAAGTCAGTAACACTCTACCTCATATAAATAGTCTATTGCACAATATTTGAATGCTGGAAACATATCTTCTTTCTTTTAAATCAGCACAAATTTTAACATCTGGAAATACAAAAATTAAAATTAAATGTTGGTAAAATAGCAAAGGCAAGAGCAGAAAATCTCTCAATCACAATTTGGTTCTCATTTTAAAAAAGGCTCTGAATTATAAAAATTAATTATAAAATGACATTTATTACTATGATTTTAAATCTAATAGGAGAATAGCATACTGATATAAAATTATAAATTATTCATATATTATTCAATCCATAGAAATGTTAGTTGGTGGGTTGAAATATACTTAATGGGATAACTTTGTTGCAAAAGAGGCTGGAGCTCTCAAGACTAGCAGAGTGGTTTCCCCAGGATAACCATATTTCTCAAGTGGTCTTGAAATCACAACTCTGTGTTGAAGCAGTGGAACAGGATTTGGGAAACTGTTTCCATTCTCTCTTAGAAAATAAAAAGCCTGAATTTGGAATTTGCTAAAAGCTAGCTCATTTGGAATGAAGCATCTATGGTATGTTACTAAATCATTGGATCATTACTGGTAAATCAACAAATCCATCTAATGAAGCAATAAGTAAAAATTAGAATGCTGAATTTGTCCAGGATGTTTCTCATTTATGTGGGAACTCAAGGAATTACAACTTCAAAGTCACTCTAGGACAGAGTTCAGTTTATCAAATAGTTCTTAGTATTTTGATCATTTAAACTGTCTTGGGTAATTCACATGTAAGCTAAAATTTCCATACAGTAGATTTTCAGAAAGATTTTATTCAGTGAAATATACATTTTCATTCAAATGGTCTTGCCTTAGTTTCTTTATTATTTTAAGTTTGCTTAAGGTATACCTATTTCCTTATCTATGGTGAAGGTTCTGAACCAGAAGACCTGAAGATACTATCTACATTAATGGGCTATGAGTTTTCTATCCCTATTTTCAGTAATCACCAAGTTAACATTCCTAAATCACTCAACTTCATTATATAAAAAAACTACGAGTAAACTTCTAAAATAATCCAGAACATAATTATTTTATTTGATTAATGACTCAGAAGAATTTCTGTATACTATGATAAACTTTTCAATTAAAACGAGCCCAAATAAGTTATCTGAATTATTTTAGTATTGTTAGATTCTGTGGTATCAGCAAGTGTGGGGAATACATACTGTTGCCACCCTCTTTCATTTTTACTTAAACAATACTAACAGTGGCATTTTCTTACTGGTGATTATATCCCCGAGAATATTTCTGATCATTGAACCTCTATACCTTTTCCACACAGTTTATCACTGATCTTTGAAGCAAATATTGATTCTAGAATTTCCATTTCTTGATATGGCACTTTCAGAAAATTATCGAATTGTGTCTCATTCTAGAAGTCATTTCAAAAAGTTATAAACAAACCCAACTCTACCTAGTTTACCCATTCAATTTACTGTCAGCATTTAACCTAAATTTTCCTTTCTTGTGAAGCCTAACATTTCTATCCACTTCAGATTCATCACTCTCATCAACTACCTTAAAAAAAAATCACCTTTGTATTGAAGTCAGTCCTTGAAATTCATGCTAAATATGTAGCATTTAAATAAGATACGATATGTTATATTCATTCTTAGAACTTCATTTGTCATTATTTATTTATTTATTTATTATTTTTTAAAAGATGACTGGTAAGGGGATCTCAACCCTTGACTTGGTGTTGTCAGCACCACGCTCACCCAGTGAACTAACCGGCCGTCCGTGTATGGGATCCGAACCCGTGGCCTTGGTGTTATCAGCACCGCACTCTCCCGAGTGAGCCACGGGCCGGCCCGTTAGTCAGGTTTACTTCACTACCCTATAGATATTTGAATCCATCTTATAGTGGAGTGGATAGGAAGAAAGATAAATTGGCCTTATGTCTAAAATCAAAGACATGGTGAAAACAAGCAAAATCATGATTAGAGAGAGAGATTTTAACACGATGAACTTTTGAATTGCAGCAATTCCAGAATGTTTGTTGTTTTTTTTTTTTTTTTTCCTTACCTGTTTCAAAAGATTTTATTTCTCTTGCGCTACTTCCTCACTGGAATCTATCAGGCCAAATTAGAAATGGATACGGTAATTAGGTGAGGCTCTCAGGCACGAGGCCGGGAAGTAAGCTTTCCCAAGGTCAGCTGAGACCGCACACGGGAGTGTGGCGCTTCCTCGGGCTGCCTTCCCGTCTCCTCCCACTCGCCTAAGGCATCAGGAGCGTTCTCCCCTTCCTCACTTCCTAGCATAAAAACCGCACTTCCACGACGTAAAATTTTCTTATATTGTTTAATCCATGCAACTTCTAGTTGGGTGGACTGAAATCTCACTGGTTTTTCCGTGCCCTTCATACCTACTATTCTCCCGTAAATAGGTTAAGTGGACCCGGGTCCTGGGGTCTTGTCCCCACAGGGCCACATCTGACAAATCTCACAGTTATTTTTTCCAGACACTTCCAAGCTGCCACACCTGAGCGCCATCCAGATCTCCTTTCCCTCAGCTCATGAACACCTTCCCTCCCTCCTCTCACCCGCCTCTCAGTGCTCTTACCTGAGGAAAAATCGCCTCCTACCGATCTTCGCTGAGGAGAGTTC